TGCCTTTACGATTACTCGAGATTACTCGAAAAAACGGCGGAAATAAATGCAATATAATTGTAGTGAACGTGTAGGACAATGCAGTTGACGAGTGCCGTCACATTTAGGGCCACCTTAGCTTTATAACTCACAACTGAAGCAAAGAGTGAAAAACGCAAGCAAGAAAAAAAAGGGGAAAGAGAAAAGGAAGCAGGAGAGCCGGGTGATCTTATTCGCTTCCCTTCAATTGAGTTCTAGCCTGGAGAATAGGATGGTAGGAATATCGCCTCGTACAAAAACTTTGTTGTATGCCATTGCATGGGACAGAAGCTAACGATCGCTTCCAGTATCCTGAAGGGATTTCGTTCTCATGCGTGGGTGTTTCAAAGAGACTGATCAATGCCTTGAGAAGTCGTCCACCTTAGCCTCTACATATCTTCGGACTTTACTATTGTGCCAACCCTTGAACCCCTTCTTTCTCCTCACTAGTTTTGGCTCATATAAGGAACGGGGTATCGGTATCATGCAGAAGTCTGCTCATTTAGAATGGTGAGATTTTGATTGAGTTTTCTTTCTTCCCATCCCTTCGGGTACAGTCAGGTGTCTGAGTGCTATCGGGGGGACTGTTCTGACGCCGTGTATTAAGGCAAATCCCGGCATTAGCCCGACTAGTAGGAAGGGTGCCGCGAGAGGGAAATCTTGGGGCCTGTACCTCTATAGATCATGCCAGCTTCATCGCTGAAATCGTTGTGCTATTAGGGCGCTAATCATTACAGGCTTCGACCTTACTGAATGTTAGAGCCTTAATTTTAGTGTTCCCTATGTTCTCTTGCTTTCCACCTTCATTTCATTCCGCTGCCTCAATTCGTAGAAAAGAGCGTTCTTATGCACCAGTTCAACCTCTATTTTGGTCTGTGCAATCAACAAATCCCTTAAAAAAGGGATCTTAATTGTACAGAATAAAAATGGAGCTCAATTCTCTGTCAAGGAATTCACTAGAGCGGCTAGAGCATTTTATGGGGGGGGGGGTCGATCACTACTCACCCCTAACATCACAATTCCTTTGGCCTAACCAACATTCTGCACATACGATTACCGTTTCCCTGCTCTGGGCGATTTTCTTTGTTTACTGCTTGTACTGTGCTCGTAGGACTCGTTAGGGCATTGTTCATCTATGCTGACGACCTTCAACATTGCAATCACGTGTAGCCATCGAAGAGATTTTTTTAGCGGCCGTCAGAGTTTTTTTCGCTTCTCTCCAAGGTCTTTTTCGTGACGTTTTTGCATACGGTACGTGGTGTAAAAACGCCACTTGCGCGCGCGCGTGAAAAGTGAACAACGACAAAATTCACCCCGGCCAGCGCCGTTGCCGCCACCACCATGGCTCGCGAAGATGAACCGCCACACACCTCCACCGCCGTTCCCTCTTCCCCGGTTTCTCCTGCTTGCACTCTTTAGCCTTCGTGTTTGACAATGCAAACATGGTCATGTTGAAGAAGGGACATTCAAACGGTTGCAATGCTGAGAGTTTACAAAGAACGGGTTCACAAGCTACATACTTAAAAGTACTTCTACTCCGGTCGGAGGCCGGAGGGTTGTCTGCTCTACGGTCGGTCGCACCAGATCATCGGCAACCAGTTGAGCGGGTTTTCGTTTGCGGGTAGGAGCGCGGTTTCCAGGGTAGAAACATAATATATGAGGTCTGCTCTCGGTGTGTTAAAATGGCTGGACCCAAGGCGATATTATGTTACCACCATCTGCATTATAAAGTCATTAGACCATACATAGGCGATGCATTTGGCCTGCAAATCGATCAAAAATGAACGACAATTTCTGATGTACTTAATTTTCATCAATTTCTCGACTCGGAGGTGCTTCGTCTATGGTTAGATTAGTGCGAAAAAATTTGGAACTAGTGCAGGTCGATAATGTGTAAGCCACTTCCCTGCATACCGGCTCTATCATGGGGGATGTGCATGGCCGGGGTAAGTAGGCCCGAAAAAGAAGAGGGGCCCATTTTCTACCCTTTCAAGAACTTTTTTTCACGGGTGAAAAAATAAACCACGCCAAAAACGATCAAATGGACTCCCAAGGAAACTTGCCTTGCCCCATCTAACCGAGGCAACATTTCAAAAAATTTTTGCCAAGCCAAACGCTGATACGCTTTTAATTCCCGGTCTATGAGTCGATTTTACCTCTCGTACAAAGCCTTCCAAATCACTTCCTTTTTTGCCTGATCCTAGTTTCTGAGAGGAATGAGCATGAATGTAAATTTGTGGACGCCACCTTTCCCAGGTTTTTCACACTCTTCGGCTGGCTGCCCTGGGATCATGCCAACGTTAACCAGTTCAGGTGGAACACATAGTTTGTGAGTTTACGGTTGACAGCGAAATGTTACCATCGAGTCTCTGGATGTAGTCATGAAGCTCACTTATGGCTACATGGAGTCGGTTAACTAGAAGAAGGCATATTCCACACCATTCCGCGCGTTGGGTGCAGGACCTCCGAGAATTCAGTTTTCCGAGCAAGGGCCTCATAACATTACCTGAGTCATAAGGTAACAGGGTAATGCGTATAGAGCCAGCATCCCTAAGACCTTCCTACCATTGACCCAATTCAGGCTAGGCTAGGGATGCAGCTATTTCAGGCTGAAGCAGTGACGGTAGGCTCCCTTGAAATCGGGCGATGTGATGCGGATGCCCGCTTTTGTAGAAGCCGATGAGGAAGTAGACAAACAATTGACTGCAAAAGCGAAGTAATTTTGCTTTGCCCTCCTTTCTTGCCTTGTGATGAAAGAGATGGCCATGAATAAGCAAAGATTCTTGCGGCTTCGCTCGCTTACAAAACCTTTCAGTGTCAAGTTTTGAAGCATAAAAAACGAACGGACTAAAGGGGGAGGGGGGTATTCATTTGGGTGTGCACTGCATTAGTTATACGAAATAGTGGACGCGAACGTACCATGCAGTTTCATGCTAGTGATGCGGTGTGGACCATCAGTAGAAAATGGGAAATAAACCGCCGAGAACACTGAAAGCAGGAACCCCTTTTCTCGGGTCGTCGATGAGGCTACCATGGAGAAACTTGGGCGTGGAGACAGGTGAGTATAAGGACGAGAGAGACGCAGGACATTGCACGCGTAGCAAAGCCCTGTGGCATAGCGCCACTGAGAGCGGGTGTTCTAAATCAAAATCTAAGTGCCGCCGCATGCGCTTTCCAGAAGGCGCCATTGCCTATGCAGTTGTGGTGCAACTACATTATATAAAGCCAGACGATCGTGAAATATGCTTTTAAGTCCAAGAATCATACCAATAATTCTCGGTCAATCTGTGGGGTCCTGAACTCTGAAAACACAATTTTTGCTTATTTATGGTCAATTCAATGACGACAACTTAAATTTGTTTAATTTCAAATACCCAAACGGAATGCGCTTTCTTGGAGCTATTCTTTGAGCTCCTCTAAGAAAGTATTTGCTGCGGCAACGTCTTAACTGACTTAAGCACTATATGGGTCTGTGGCGCTCGGAGGGGAAAGGGTAGCAATGGAGAATCAATTCGGAACGTTTCCATGTGCAGGGTGTTTTTCTGCTTTCGAGAAATGATCGCTGATCAGCGTGGGGTAATCTCTGCTTTTTTTGCGGCTTCTTTCTAACGCGAAACCGTCAATCAAGAGGTTTATCGCTGTTTTTCATGTGTTCAAGTGCAGCTGTCCGAAAAGACTAGAGAGCGAATTTTTTCAATCGATAACAACTTTTTATGGCCGTTTTTCATAGCTTATGGACAAACACGCTCGCAAGACCCCTTGAAAAAAGTGGTTTCTGATTGCTGCTTCATAAAAAATGCGAGGGTGCGTGTTCTAGCTAACTCCAATCAGCGTTTTGCCCTTGAAGTGACTCTGGTGCTAATAGCAACAGCTATCAATTAATTTAAAGGCCCTCAATTGCATTGAAGGGAGTTCATCCTCTGCAGAGGCAGGAATTTGGTGCCGCTTGTCATCGCCCCATCTTTGCAGAGAAGCCGTACTATCAAGCAATCCTGTGAAGCTGTCTTGAAATACGTACCACCTGTTGAAATGAATTTTGCTATGATATGAATTCCCAAGCCAGTCAATCTAAATAAGGATTCTCTCGTAGATTTCTATCGGTTTTATTTCTCCAATTTGTCAACTAAGGCGCTTGCTAAATCTAGCTTTTTTGGGAGGAATTTTTGGAAATAATACAAAAGTGGCCATTTTAGAAACGTTAAGGTCCCTTCTTAGTTTTGGAGGCGGACCCATAGCAAAATGAGTTCTCACCTCAGTAGAAAACGTTTAGGACATTTCTAATCGGACTTGTATCCTCTAGGTGTGATGCATAAAAGTAATAAAAACGATGAAGCGCTGTGCGTTGATTAAGACGTTTAGGGATGGGTCAAGCATTCTAAATACATTTACTCAGAATGGTGGTGGTGGCACTTCTATGCAAAGGCTCGCGCCAGCCGATGCACAACTCATTTGTCTTTATCCCTGCAGACAATCTGCAACCAGTTGTTCAATCCTGGACGAATTCATTTGCCTATTCTGGCTAAACTCGATCCGAAATTCGACCTCCGCGTCATCGGCGAAGGAAGCGGCGGCCACTTCCCTCTGCTATACTTCCACAACGAATCGCAAAAACATAATAGCTAAATACTGTCGAAACTAACCAGGGAAGTCTTTCAGGACATTGAGCGCCTTTGCAAAACGCTTTTCTGTATATAGGGAACATAGAAATGAGATTCATTTTTTTCTGAGCGGCACTGGGAATGCCAAAAACATGTGGGAACCAGGGTTCCTGGTTCGGTCCCAGCTGAGGACTAATTTTTGCATTCATTCTGATTTCACTTTTGGACTATATGTATGTGTCTAAATTTATTCAGTGAATGAATGTTCCAAATGAAACTATTCAACGCTAGAAAGAAGTTTATCAACAATGTAAAAGTTCCACTTTCTAGGAAAAATTTTTGCACTCCGAGCGGCCGCTCGAGGAAAAATATCATCAAGTTGTAATGCCGTCTGCGGCACGTTGCCCTACTATTAAAGAAGTAAACGAACTCAAAAAAACGCTTCGCACCGTGGACTTCCCTGGTAAGAGTAATGGGACTGTATCCGGCACAAACAGTAGCACCAATACATCAGTCAACTCCTGTTTGAGCCGATTGTTCTTTGACAGCCGAAGGCAGTGAAACGTTTCGGTAATGCTACACTACTTGCTTAGGATTAATATACAGGGGGGGGGGCAATAAGAAAAAAGACATTTTGCCTATGTCGCACCTCAGCGTTTTTTTTTCGTCGCAGAGATTGTCGTCGGTGACGGAATTTCTTCAGCAAATATCCTCAAATGCCCTCTATTAGTAGACGCAAGCCCTCCTTCACTGCCTTCACCGTCTTCAGAATATGACGTCATCTGCCATCGTGGTTGAGCTCACGGGGACCTACAGTAAATGCTCCAGCCCGAAGCTCTTACTTAATTTTTTCAATCGATTCATCGTTGTATAGTTTCCTAGAACATTGGCTGATGAATATAACAAAACCCCCTTGGAACCTTTTCAGAAAACGTCGTAATGGTATGGGGTCCCGTCCACGACCCCATTGAGCACGACCAGTACACCATGTTTTCAGTGCTAATTTTTCCGATTTCGTCCACCTTGAAGGGCAATATGAAGTTTATTTTATAAATGGAATGTGCTCTTTCATTTTAACTTGAGACCATTCGGTTCGAATTTAGCAGAGTGTGATTAAATCGGTTTGAATGTGGAGACAGAATGTCTTTTTTATTGCCCCCCCCGTAGATTTTTGAATATTGCTACATCACTGTGACGTTTTCTCGCTAGTTTCATTTGCTACAGATTGACCTTACCCGATTTTCAGTTCACGCAACTCTCACATCTGCAGCAGCACATTCGTACACACACCGGTGAGAAACCGTACAAATGCAAGTATACTGGTTGTGAAAAGGCGTTCTCGCAACTCAGCAATTTACAATCGCACTCACGATGTCATCAGACGGACAAGCCTTTCAAGTGCAATAGGTGAGTGCAATATTACTGTACTTCTTTAGTTAACAATCCACAGTAGCAAAGTGCAAAAGATCACGGATAAGGTTCCCGCACCGATTGGGATGCGCCACGCATTCTGCTTTCATTTGGTGGTCATTTTGGATGTCACTTCTCCTATCCAATGATTTTGGGGAGCACCCAATGTAGAAGTTAGTGTTTTATATTCTCAAACAAGCCCGATACCAATTTCTGGACCCTAGAGGGATCGAAGTCTTGGGTGGCTCGGATAGCGTAACCATCCAAGAGTACATGTGTCTGAGCTGCGCCACATGCCGATTCACCAATTCCGTCACTCAGATTACGAAATGCTCATTCACTCGTTTGGGGGCATGAAGTTGCAAAGGGGGCTGTTAGCGAAGGAAAATGGAACAGAAAAACACTGAAAGGTACCCTTTCGGGCGACGGGTAAACCTATGGCTACTCCCCACTTACTACGCTTCCGAATCGAAATTCAGATTTCCCGTTCAGAGCAGCTTTTATCCCTATGGATCGCCTAATTGGTACAAGGCGTGTGTGCAAGGGCCTGAACATTAACTTTATCTGCAAATTCCCATTAAGGCCCAAATCGGCTCAAATACCATTACTTTGAACGGAATTAGGCGCTATCGCAAGACACGGCGCATTGTTGTGGCAGTGCATTCAAGACCACATGAAACATCTTCATTTTATTGAAAAGAGGACAGTGTGTAGGTGGGGAAAGACGGAATCCAGGGTGCGCGTGAGCAATTTTCATTTTCTCCAAAAATCCTTTCCCTCCTAGCGGGTGGTTATTAAAGGGTGCTCCGTCTCCCTGTGAGAGCGCTTTGAATTACAATGATGCTTACCCTAAAGCAATACGTCTCTAATTTCTTCGACCTTACAGCATTAACTATATGTATAGAATGCTTCAATTGCCCTTTATTTTTTGTTCCCGAACTCGGCTACGAAACCTTGACTGGGGCTGACCAGATGGTAACTGTCTTCTTATACAGTGACATTTGGTGAAACATGGTGTGGCCACGAGCGCTCAAAAGAAATGACGCTGCATTCGATGCCACGGTCAAATCTTCAACTTAGTGTTTGCTAATCCCTTTCAGTGTGTAAAGTGGTGAAGGGAAACTGCACAGTGGAACGAAGGGGTGTGCCGAAGGCCAGAAGAGTCGAGCTATACAATTTTGTATTTTCAGTTGCTACAAGTGTTTCTCGGACGAGCAAAGCCTACTGGAACATATACCAAAGCATAAGGAGTCGAAACACTTAAAGGTTTGTGGGTTCTTGTTCGGGCAATCTGCCCGATCTGCTGATCTTAAACTAAACGCTCTTATCTCGTGTTCAGGTGCACATCTGTCCTTTCTGCGGAAAGTCGTACACACAGGCCACCTACTTGCAAAAGCACATGACAAAACATGCTGATCGAACGCGAGCGAACCCATTAGGAGGGTAAGTAAAAAGTGATCATCATCAACTTTCGAGTTCCTATGGTAGCTACTCCATTATCGCCTCCTTAGGGCACAATCAGTTTTTCCCCTGCGCTTATTCAAAACCAAAGCTAATGGCGCCTTTTTATGAATACTTTTCATAATTTGCATACTGCCACAGATAGCGATCAGGACTGTAAGGTGGTGTCATCAAAGAACGAGAACTGGCAGAGAAATGCTCAGATCCTCCTCAAGCTCATGCCTTCCGGCACGACTTCCTTCAGGCCCTTTGATCCAGCTCTGGTTTCTGTTATAGATTCAATCGTTTCTGGCCAACATAGATCCATGCACACAGCCACAGCCAGGACAAAAGTGCCCCTGTATGGTTACTGTGAGTTGGGTCATGGATAGCGCCCCATCTACTAGTGCACGCTACCACTATGGCGTTTTTCTTCCCTTCTTCGAAACCCTTCCACTTATTCCACCTCTTCCGACCGTTAAACTTACGCGGGGGTAGGACCAGCCATGGCAAGTGGCCGATTTTTAATAACTTGACACTCCCTCTCCTCTCCCCTATTCCTTCCCCCCACTCCTCCCAATCCCACCTCCAATGGTTTATGATGTGACAAAGTCGTTGTCAATCGTTTAACCTGCTCTCAAGTAGCACCTTCTCTCGCAACACCTAAAAATTCCAAAACTTCAAAAATGCGGACCTGTCGAGCGAGGAGGGTGAATGAAATGAGCATGCTTTTACACAGTTGAAGCTGGAAATCGTGCTAAATATTCAGAAGTTCTCGAAATTTCGTCGAAAATTTTCCCTATATGCAAAAATTTCTCTCCCAGAAATACGATCCTGCTTAGTCAAATACGGCCCCTCTCTCCAGCCCGGCCGAACCCTCTCGAAGTTTGAAGTTTGCCATACCTAAGCCAAGTCTATGTGCCCCATATGCCATCACGCTTAACTCTTTTCTTCTATTCTAGTTTGCCAGTCGAAAGCACAGTACCCAGTCAAGAGAGGCCTATCAAACCCTCTGAAAATTCAATACTTGTTCTTCCACAGCACTGAAAATTGTAGATTTTCAACCGGCACCTCGCCTAGCTACGATGCGTCAAAACCTGTATTTTAATTTTGAATTTCAGTGGGTGTTGGAAACTTTTTCCTCAGCTTGAAACTTCCAGTCAGTGACTTGTCCTTGAGTCATTTTTCACTTCTTACCGATGTAAGATTGGCTAGAAAACCTCAGAGGGTTCAACGAGCATTTTTTGAGTCTTTCGACGTTCAAAGAGTATTTTTTGAGTGATGCACTCTTCTGCATTATTGAAACAGTGAAACGAGGCAAAAAGAAGTCAGCGGGGCGACGGCGCTAAACAGACATTTCCAACGTCAGTCGATCGATTGGTGTCTGCCCCGGCCCGAAGTGCACCATGTAAAATTGCTAGCATGACGAGGGACAGTTTACCCCACCACCATGAAACACAAGTGCTATTTTTGATGAAGAACCATAACCCTGAGATTTTTGGCTAAGCCAAATGTTCGTCTTTTGTTGACTTCGTCAGCAAGGAGATGGGCTTCTCTAGCACCAAGTCTGAATGGTACTCCTTTCCACCGTGCGGCCCCCCAGGATCGGATTCCAGGCGCGCCAACTAACTACATAAAACTTTCTTTCTGTCACACTCTGTTACGGAAATTCGGAAAAAAAAGACAAAGGAACTTATGTGAAGCTATCACCTAAATCATCGTCTTGTGCTTATACAACAGAATGATAGAAAGGACTTTTTGGTATTGATTTTTTGAAATGCGCCATGAGACTGACTCCCATTAGAAATCGATAGTTGCACCGAGTTCGAGTTTGACCCATGAAATGCTGCGCTGGCTTAGTTGACGTACAAGCCTCTGTTTTCATTTCTCAGCCTCAAATAATACGGCCATCTCGTAAGTACAGAGCTCGATTCGGCCTCAAGGTCTGAATTCTCTCGTTCGGGGTCACTGCCATTCATCCAGATGACAAAACCGCCAGTTCCACTGATCCATCATAGCCCCTCCCTTAATATGGCTTCTTTTACAGAAGTGCTTGGCAAAGCTCATCTCACTTTACGTACAACATCGGCCACTGTTTGTTGGGATTTTTCCAACGAGAGGTCGTATTTTTAATTTTGGATTAGGGTCGTAGCGATTCTGGCGATAGTGTGGTTAGTGGGCAACGTTGTGCAGACTGGGCCGAAGACAAAAGGTGCAACTTCGGGGAAAATAAAGGTGCTACCACAACCTTTTTTCTCTTCCCACTCAAGGCTTATTACTTGGAGGGGGAGGGGGCAGCAGGAGAGGGTGTATTGGGTGTGTGGGCTCAGTGCACATGATCTCCCTTCGAGTATGCCGACGCATTGGTTTCTGAAGGGGGTGGGGGGAGGAGGGTTGGGGTCGTTGTGTGAATCAAGTGTGCTGGAATGGAATACGTTGTGTGAAGTTGTAAATTCAAGGAGCTGTTTATACAACCCCCTCACTTCACCAAGTGTGTCAAGTGGTGACAGTTACAGAAACCGTCGACACCATCGACGGTTGGAAGGAGTTATTACTGAAGAGCAGGGAATGAAGCGTTATAGGTTATTATGAGTCTTCAAACGCGTCATAGTAGACTTAGCCTACATATGCTATCTGAAATATTCACAGATGCAAATTTGCACAGGATTTTTAATTATCAAAAGAACGAATACAACTGCTCAACAGGCTAGCTTAGGAACCCTCATTCCTCTATCTGCATTGAAGGGTTCGCTAATCGGTTGATAGCGCTCAAACGTTCCCCTCTAGTCTATCGACTAATCTTTTTCGTAGTTTGATCTTAACCTTGGTTTTAAATAATTCGTAACCTTGAATCGAGCTGCTGTCTTACTTATAGAACACTTGCAGTTACTGGGATTCCATGAAAAAGTTTGCAGGTGGATACAGGAGTTCCTGTCGTTTAGAACATTTCAAGTGCGCATAAACTCTGCTTACTCCGAGGTCTTCAGTTGTCAGAGTGGTGTCCCACACAAGGTGGTGTGCTGTCACCAATACTCTTTAATATTTATTGTGCAGATTTGGTGTACTGCTGCAAGGCAATTCAATGTCGCTTGCAAACAATACGCTGACGATCTGAAATTCTACAAAGTCATAAATACTTCCCAAGATATTCTCGATTTACAGGCTGCGATTAACGGGCTAGTCATTGGTCTGCAGAGTGGCAACTTCCCCTCTCCCTCACAAGACGCTTATATGCGTGTAGGTCCCTCTTCTGGTGGTGCCTCCTACTTCATCCAAGGCATGGAACTTAAAAAGGTTAGAGAGGTTAAGGACCTAGGCTTTCACTACAATGACAAACTTGATTTCTCGCCCCACTGTAGCCACATTCATCGTATTGCATTATACCGACCTACCAGATTTTATAGGCGCTTTTCCACAAAAAACACAAGTGTGTTCTTGTTCGTGTATATAAATCCTATGTACGTCCCCTAGTAGAGAGCGGAACTGTCGTCTTTTGCCCTAGCGAGGAAAAGGTGATTGTGTTAAAGGCACGCTCCGCGATAGGCGGGCTCGGATGTTCCATCCAGGGGGTAGTAGGCAGGTAGACAAGTGTTGATGTCGCACCCCTTTTGCCGCTTGAAAGTGCGCGACAAAGGCGCAAGGAGCTCGTCCAACCCGCAACTCACACCTTCGTCCGCAAGCCCCACCCTTCGCTGTCGGTTGCCACGTGGCGCTGCTTGAAAAGCGCGGGCGCATTTGAGGCAGTGGTCCCAGCGCGATCCAATGTTATTGACACTGGAGCAAGTAGAGTTAGGTTCGTGAAACTCGTCCAATTCGCCTCTTCTCTATCCCAAGGTGGAATGTGGCTGGAAATAGGGGAGGCCTACGGGGCGTAATCGGTGGTTTCGTTTGCTTTCCTCTCTTTGACAGACCACATCCCACCTATAGCTTTCATAACTGAACGCTTTTCCAACACACATTTTATCTGATCTGCGGGGGTGACATTGTGTTAATAGAAAGGATTCAAAACAATTTTACCAGGAAAATTCTGATCCGTCGTGGTGGTTTTTTGTATTCCAGAATCCCAAGGCAGTCTTTAAGGGAACAAATATCTTGATCTTCCTTCTCTCCAGTCTAGGCGCAAGCTCTTTGACCTGTGCATGTTACACAACTTGCTGATAGGCAAATCCGCGGTTAATTTTTCGGATTTCGCGAGCATACTTCCTTTCATAACTTAGGGATGGGTCAGATCTCAAACTATCGTTTTCTAGGCCCAAAAACAAGCACTAGACGTAAATTTTTTCACGATAAGGGCTGGTCTTGCATACTTGCAAGCCAGCAAGGCTACTACCATCCACGGCTCTGTGGGCTCCTTCAAACGGGCAGTAGGTAAAAGTATCCTACAAGCATAGTTGTCACTTATCTATTCTTGAGAAGTGTAGCATGTTGTGTCATATCTGTTTTGTTGGCACTTGTTATGGTTATTACATTTCTTTTTCTCACGCTATCCCACATGGCGTATATAATAAATAAATAAAACACATCTAGAACGCAGGTTTCTCTTCTTGATTGTGCCACACTCTCAATTCTCGCCAATAATTTTAGAAGCGTTTGAAAGCATTTCCGGCTACGGAATGTCATATCGAGGTGCAGAACTGTATTTCTATTCTCAGTGTAAAGCTTATAGCGTTGAGATGCTAGAAATTTTACCTGCCCATTACCTTTTCAATATCTGAACCTAAGCAGAGCCAATTTTTTCACGCTGGGCTCATCCTATATTACCATTTCCAATGTTTTCTCTGATGGCGTCTCCACATTCTCTGAAACATCCCTTCGAATGTGGCTAAGTTTCACGAAACAAGCTTCACAGCTTTCGCACCATTGGTGGATGATGCCTCTAGCCGTTGTGCAGCTCTTATTGTTAGCAGTCGCTGTTGGGAAGCAACGATTTCCGGAGAAACTAAGCGTAGGTGTGAGGTTCAAGGACAGAACTAGAAGGCAAGTAAAGGGATGAAGTATAGAGCGTTT